AAACATATTTACTTACGGTTTTATACAAGCTAGGGATTTAGATGCACTTCAATATGTAAATAGTACATTAAGATAATAAAGGCATAACTTTAATAGATACGATTCGTGCCTTCAATAGACACTAATTCGTGCATTGAACAACAAACTAATAGGCAAAGGGAACTGAATCAAGTTGTTTTGTGAATCGATTTAGTAGATTAGTATTCTATGTTTATTTACATTTTTATCAATAACTTTATTTATATGGAATATGTTAAAGTTAATACTTTGTTGTGTTATTTTGTATTTGAGCTAAAAATGTTATGTTTGTAATTGAGTCATAAAATATTAGAATGTGTTTGGGTCATGTTTTGTTGTATTTATTTAGGCCCAATGATAGCAGACTCTAGAATTATTTGGGTGTGTCTAGATAAAAATTGTAAGAGTCTTTTCTAGAATATGGAGTGTCTATATTTAAGTGTGTCTAGAGATGTGTGAGAGACTTTTCTAGAAGTAGAATGGAATGAAAAATTTAGTTCCAAAGCTTCCTCTATATTCTTTGTTTGTTTAATTAATCAAAGTTCAAGCCTAATCTAAGGCCAACAGAGTGGTATCAGAGCTTGGTTTGACAACAACAATTGGGCGTGAAGATTTAGTTTGGGAAAACAAACCCCGATGCCGAAGAAAATGGCGGGTTCAAGTAATCAAAGTTTTGGAATTCAACCACCTCTGTTTTCACAATTTGACGGTGAGAATTATTATTTTTGGTGTGTGAAAATGAAGACCCAACTTATCTCAAATGATTTGTGGGAGTATGTTGAAGATGGGTATGATGACCCTAAAGATGTCGATTCTTTGACGGATGCTCAAAAGTAAGTATTGAAAGCACATAAAAGGAAGGATGCAAGAGCTCTCTCAATGATTCAACAAGGAGTTTCAGACAAGATTTTTCCAAGGATCATCAACGAGATCAAGGCAAAGGATGCTTGGGCTATTCTTCAAAAGGAGTATCAGGGCAACTTGAAGTAAGAGCAATTAAACTTCAATCTTTGGGAAGAGATTTTGAAATATGAAAATGAAAGATGGTGAAGTATTGCAAGATTATTTTTCTAGATTGATGGAAGTTGTGAACCAAATGAAAATACATGAGGATAATATAACTAATGAAAGAATTGTGGGAAAAATTTTAATTACGTTGACGACGGACTATAACCTCATTGTTGCAGTTCTTGAAAATACTAAGGACATTGAAACCTTGAGTGCTGAAGAATTGATGGGTTCAATTAAAGCATTTGAGCAAAGATTGAGTAAGCAAACGGAGAAGTCACTTGAAAGTGCTGTTCAATCTAAGCTCAATGTTAGTGGTTCTAAAACTCAAGGAAGCTCTTGGAATTTTAATCAATCGGAAGGTAGAAAAGGAAAAGGTAAATTTGATAATGCAAAAGGTGGAGGAAATAATAATTTTCACAAGAAGAATTTTCAAAAACAAGGAAATGAAGTGTCCACCCAAAGAAAGTGTAAAATTTGTAACCGAAGTAGTCATGTGGAGAAAGATTGTTGGTTTAAGGGGAAGCCACAATGTTATAATTGCAAGAAATTTGGGCATGTAAAGAAGGATTGTAGAGTAACCAACCCACAAGCTAATTTTACCAAAAAATAATAAGTTGATGGGAACATGCTTTATGCGTGCCACAATGCTTTGGAGAAAAAATGCGATGTTTGGTTTGTTGATAGTGGTTGTAGTAACCACATGATCGGTGATGAAAGCATTTTTGCCAACCTTGATGCTTCCTCAAATTCGCAAGTCAAAATGGGTAACGGTGCCTTAGTCCAAGCAAAAGGAAAGTGTACTATTGCGGTGGAGACCAAAAAAGGAACAAGATACATAAGAGATGTTTTGCTAGTTCCGGACTTGGAGCAAAATTTGTTGAGTGTTGGTCAAATGGTGGAGCATGGACATGTGGTTCACTTTGAAGATGATACTTGTAAGATTTATGAAAAATGGGGGAGCAAGCAAATGGTGGCGACAATCAAGATGGACAAAAACAAAAGCTTTCCTCTCACTTTGAAGTATGCAATAAATATTGCTTTGAAGATGAATGTTGTGGATGAGACTTGACTTTGGCATAAGAGATTTGACCACTTGAATTTTCAAAGTTTGAAGTATCTACAACAAAAGGGCATGATGCATGGGTTGCCGATGATTCAAGAAGTCAAAGAAGTTTGTGAAGGTTGTGCTCTTGGAAAACATCGGGAGGCATTTCCAAAAGACAAGGCATGGAGAGCTACCGATGTGTGCGGGCCTATTTACACAACTACTCATGGAGGTAACAAGTATTTCATTACTTTCATTGATGATTTTTCTAGAATGATATGAGTTTACTTTATGAGACAAAAATCGGATGTGTTTAATATTTTTTGAAAATTTTAAAGTCTTGTTGAAAGGAAAAGTGGCCACCTTATGAAGGTGTTAAGAAGTGATAGAGGTGGTGAGTATAACTCTAATGAATTTATGAAGTTATGTGAAGATATTGGGATGAAAAGACAATTGACCGTTGGATATACTCCACAACAAAATGGAGTGGTGGAGAGAAAAAATAGAACAATTGAAGAAATGTCTAAATCAATACTTTATGAAAAGGGTTTGCCCAAAATTTTTTGGGGCGAGGCCGTTAACACGGCGGTTTACTTGTTGAATAGATGTCCAACAAAAGCCCTTTCAAACAAAACTCCATTTGAAGCTTGGAGTAAAAGAAAACCCTTGGTTAATCACTTGAAAGTGTTTGAGTGTATTTGTTATGCACACGTTCCCAAGTTCTTTGTCTCCAAGTTCAACTCCAAGAAAAATGAAAAGTCTTAGTGATGTGTATGCAAGATGCAACTTTTGTGTGGTTGAATTGGAGAACTTTGAAGAAGCAATTAAATTAGAAGTTTTGAAAAAAGCAATGCAAAAGGAGATTCAGGTGATTGAAAAGAACAAGACATGGGAGTTGGTGGAGATACCCAAAGAAAAAGGAGTGATTGGTGTGGAGTGGATTTACAAAACAAAGCCTAATCTGGATGGATCAATTCAAAAGAACAAAGCAAGACTTGTTGCAAAGGGGTATTCTCAACAACCGGGTGTTGATTATCAAGAAACATTTGCACCGGTGGCTCGATTTGACACAATTAGAGCACTTATTGCTTTGGCGGCTCAAAAGGGATGGTTCTTGTACCAACTTGATGTGAAGTCCGCATTCTTAAATGGAGACTTGGTGGAAGAGGTGTATGTGGATCAACCTCAAGGCTTTGTTGTCAAAGGAAAAGAAGATAAAGTTTACAAGTTGAAGAAGATGTTATATGGGTTGAAACAAGCACCCCGAGTATGGTATAGCGAGATCGATTCCTACTTCAACAATAAAGGCCTTTCAAAGGAGCCAAAGTGACCCAACCTTGTATGTCAAAAAACAAGGTAACACCGGTATTCTTATTGTTTCTCTTTATGCTGATGATCTTGTTTTTACTGGAAACAATGAAAAGATGCTTGAAGAATTTAAAAAAGACATGATGAAAAAATATGAGATGAGTGATTTGGGTTTGTTGCATTACTTCTTGGGATTTGAAGTTTTTCAAAATGAAGATGGTGTTTTATTTCCCAAATGAAGTATGCAAAAACTATCCTTGAAAAGTTTAAAATAGTGAATTGCAAGTCGGTTGCTACACCTTTGGTGGTGAATGAAAAGTTGACAAAAGAAGATGGAAGTAAAGATGTTGATGCTTCTCTTTATAGGAGTTTGGTTAGAAGTTTGTTATATTTGATGGCTACAAAGCCAGACATTATGTTTGCTACAAGTTTATTATGTCGGTTTATGCATAGTTCAAACCAAACTCATTTTGGGGCGGCAAAAAGAATTTTGAGATACATCAAAGGTACCCTTGATTATGGGATTTTGTTTGAGAAAAATGTGGATGCAAAGTTGATTGCATTTTGTGATAGTGATTGGGCCGGGTGTGTAGATGATATGAAGAGCACTTCCGGTTATGTATTTTCACTTGGCTCGGGTGTCTTTTCATGAACATCTAATAAGCAACAAATGGTAGCACAATCATCTGCCGAGGCCGAATATATTTCGGCATCATTGGTGACATCACAAGCAATATGGCTAAGGAGAATCTTGGAAGATGTTGGTGAGAAACAAGGAAATCCTACTTCAATTTTGTGTGATAACAAGTCTGCGATAGCAATGACAAAGAATCCCGTCTACCATAACCGTATCAAACACATTGCAATCAAGCACCACTTTATTTGGGAGGCCGTAGTGGATGATGAGATTCAACTCAAGTATTGCAAGACGGAGGATCAAGTAGCAGACATTTTCACCAAAGCACTTCCGAGGGACAAGTTTCAATATTTTCGGGAAATGTTGGGTGTCACACAACAAAGCATTAAGGGGGAGTGTTAAAGTTAATACTTTGTTGTGTTATTTTGCATTTGGGCTAAAAATGTTATGATTGTAATTGAGTCATAAAATATTAGTATGTGTTTTGGTTATGTTTTGTTGTATTTATTTAGGCCCAATGATAGAAGACTCTAGAATTATTTGGGTGTGTCTAGACAAAGATTGTAAGAGTCTTTTCTAGAATATGGAGTGTCTATATTTAAGTGTCTAGAGATGTGTGAGAGACTTTTCTAGAATATATGAGTGTCCATATAAAGTTTGTAAGAGACTTTTCTAGAAGTAGAATGGAATGAAAAATTTAGTTCCAAAACTTCCTTTATTTTCCTTGTTTGTTTAATTAATCAAGGTTCAAGCCTAATCTAAGGCCAACAGAGTATACATTATTTTATCTAATTTATTTTTGAAAATTATGAATTTGAATATTTTAATAGTATAAGCATAATCCACTTTGTTGGCATGAGTTTCTATGACTAGAGTTTGGCCCCCCCAATAATAAATCTTGGTTCTGTCGCTGCTCTTGAATCCAACTTGTGACATTTATGGGTAGTGAGTTTGTTTAGAAGCTATATGTCGTCTTCTTAGATGATGTTGGGAGTTGGGACACATCTTCTTACACTATTAATGGTTGTGACTATGTGTGTCTTCTCTATGATGTTTTCAGATGCTTATGCAGACAGAACCGTTGGAGAGAAAAAACCTAGGACTTCAGTGGATGAGGGGCCTTCTATGACAGAATTAAGTGGCTATAATTCTAAGAGGCGGGAGTTTGAAATTGAATATGATAATGATGCCGAGCAATTACTGGCAGACATGGAATTTAAGGATACAGACACTGATGCTGAACATGGACTGAAATTGCTAGTCTTGCGAATATACTCAAAAAGGTAATCAGTTCATTCAGTTGTAGTTTCCTTTTCCTGTTCCTTTTCTTGCCGTTACTTTTATATGTGCGAAATCATGATATAGCTGAGGCTATCAAAGGGTCCATGTTTACAATTTGTAGATAGGTGGTGGGATGAAACAATCTAATGGTCTGCCATCTGGTTGACAGGACTGGTGTTTAAGGGGAAATTCACTCCCAAGCCGTGGTTGGAGATTCTTATTTTAGTCCCTGGGGTATCAGCGCCCTAATATAAGAGTTTGAACACAAATTTTATGATTGCTACAATTTCAAGGCAGTCCAGAACAAATATGCCTTTAGTTGAAAATCTTTGATTACCTTTTATGTTAACTACATGCAGATGTTGATTGTCCAACTCTTTAAATTCATCTCTATAATATATAATGCAGGGCCTGTTTACTGTATATTAATGCAAGTCATGCCACGTGCTCGCCTCTCGGCCAGAGGGTTTTACTGGACTACTGATTTGCTAGAGTTCCCATACTACCTTCATGTGTTTCTCTGATTCTCTTATTAGGTCACTTTTAAGAGCAATACTTAATGAACTTAAAAAGTAGTTTTAAAAATTAGACTTGATAATTTCAATCATTGATTTCACTATGAGTCCCACCATTTATTGAGACCCACTACCTATTCAATGGTTGAGATTATCAAGTCTAGTTTTTAAGTCTATCTAGTATTACTCCACTTTTAAATGATAGAGGCTTGCCACATAAGATTATCATGTGTCTTTTTTGTCCTGTTTAAGATTGAAATCCTGTAAATCATCTGTAAGGATGGAAACCTGTTCACGTTAGCTTTAAGAGGGATATATCACATAGTAGGTCGCAAGGAGGAATTTGTGAATGCATATTTCCATGCACATAGTAGTCAATGTGTATGCACTCTAATGGCTTCAATGTCTTAAGTTTGTCAATCTTGCACCAGCTGTCTTTGCAATTGGAAAAGCATTTTGTATTTTACAATAGTATGATGGTTGGAGCTCGTAGAAATTCAGATATTCTGTTTTCTTTCTCTGTATTGTTGGGTGGGTTTGGGAGGTGGTCTCAGGTTTATGTGGGTCAACCCATTTTGTAGGATCTTATGATTTCTTATGATTGAAGAATTGTCAAATGAGTATGTGTTGAACATTCATATGTTGATAAGGTTCACAAACTGCGCCATATCTGGACCTTCTGGTGACCATATATTGAATACTGGAAGTATATGTCATGCTGTTCACATCCAATCATTTTCTTTCATTTTACCTACGTGTCAAACATATTGGGAATTTTTGGCAGGCTTGATGAGAGGAAACCGCGGAAGGATTTTATACTGGAAAGAAATTTACTTCATCCTGACCCTTTAGAGAAAGCCCTCTTCACCAGAAGAGAAAGAAAAATGTTAGCAGTACAGGGTGTTCATGCGCATATCGTGATTTATTCTGAAATTTATGGTACTATCACTTATGGTAAAAATATATTTATAAGACTACAATTCTGAAATTTCATTTGAAATAAAAATGATTTTTTTAATAATTTATGAAGGTCTGGCAAGTTTATCTACCTAGAATTTTAATGCTGGTGTCTGCCCTGCCTTGCTCGTATACATGTTATTCATTTGTACTATGTTACCTGTTCCTACCGTATTAGGTCAAATATTTGTCTTTGTACTACTACTCAGAAGTTTCCTTCCTGTGTGTTTTCCATGTTCTCTCAGTAATTTAACGCCATGAATGTACGATTTCTTGAAAAGAAAAAAAATTATATTTGTGCCTTTTGAATATTGTTTTTTTTTCTTATTTGTCATATTCGCCTGACTGACGTACTTTAGTGATCTCTTTTTTTGGTTCTTTCCTTGCTTATAATATAATTGCTGAATTTCACGAATTCTGGTCATACTGGAATTACAGCCTTAATGTGGAGTTAGAACTGGTTGGGTTTCCTAGTAGTCTACATGTTAGTGTCACCTGGTTGGGTTTCCTAGTAGTCTTCATGTAGGTGGTAACACTAGTTTGAATAAGAGGACCAAAATTTGTTGTTCACAAATGGATGAATAAACTTTTGGTCATGATTTCTTTCTTTGAAAAAATTCCTTGGGACTGACCTAAGCACTTTTAGTTGTATGATTGTTTTGACTTATTGAGGTACTTGTCGTGATTTTCTTTTTTGGTCAAACAATGGTGTCTATCGTCTGTTGGTGGACGTCGTTTCTTATATTGGGTGGGATCCAAAAAATTGTCTTACAAATGTATACTACGTTTTTATTGTGTATATATATATTGTTTGTCCCGTAGCTAGTATATCGATAACCATAATTTTGAAGGATGCTCGAGCTGCTGGCTGCTGTACATCTGCTGAGGCTGAAAGATTTATTGAGCAGAAGAGAAAGATGGAAGCTGAAGAAACAGCCCGTGGAGTGAAGGAGAGTTGCCAGGCTGGTCTGAGTGGTAAATTCCTCCAAAGGGCAAATAATCTCAAAGGAGAACTTGATAGCAGTGCTCAGGGAGGTGTCACAGATATAGATTCTGGTGGCAAGGACTCTTCTTCAACAACTGCAGGACTAGCTATTTCAAACACCTTAAACAATTGGGATGTAACGGTTTTTGTGGGGGCTAATTTACTCTCTGAAGCTGTAAAGAATGCTGCTTGCACTTTCTATGTCTATAACCTATAAAAGTTGTTTGCTCCTTTGGGACTCCGATACAATGCTTTTCTGGGTAATTATTGGATATTATAGTGGTCTAGGCCCCAATAGACAATGTCACGAATGAGCAAAGTGTCTTTTGTTGGGAAAATA